GATAACCAAGACTTCTTTCACTTCCCTTTGACTGTTATAGCAAGTTAAATATATTCTTAAATCCCAAGGAAGGTAATAGATTTACTTTGGCATGTACTGAAATACAGTACATGCTTGCCTTCGTAATTATGGAGTAATTTAGCAGTGTCATGGAATTAGTTGTTAAATAAAATACTCGATTACGAACAGAGTCTGACTTATGAACTCATCATTTAAATTATATTTTTTAATGTATGCCATTAGAATTTGGCTACCTGGAATCTGACTTAGTTACTGTTCCATATTTATCTCACTGACAAACACAAAATAGTAAATTATTTAACAAAATATTTTTTCTCTGTTTTATTGTTTAGTAGAATTAAAGGACAAGCAGATAGAGAAAAAAATCGGGGTTATACGATGTGCTGATTCTCGTACTGAACAATCAGCTGTCACGTTTGCAAAGGCGAAGTTCACTCACTAGCATGACCGCACACCGCGTCCATTCTGGCACGAACGACACCAGAATACTATGGGCGTCTATTATGGTATATCTTCGATTTAACGGAGCCCTATCTGACTTACGGTTTAACAGAAAACTTTTCCCCTTTTCTTTTCAATTAAAGAAGACTGTTATGGCAGTACTACATACATGCTTCCTTAATTCCGGTACAAAGTGGAAGTTGTTTTGATTAAAACTGACATCATCGTTAATAAAACAAATTGTATGAATAAGTGGTCATTATTGCATGCAATATTATGTTTGTGACACCTGCATAGTGCCAGATGCCAACCCATCATTTTTAAATGTTATATGTTGGATAGAGTCGCATTGCGTTAAAATCATTGTTTCTTACCCATACAAGTCAGCCCTTTTCAGGAATCAACAAAACACGTTTGATAGAAGCAACTGTTGCAAAACATCACCGTTCAAACAACGTCCCTCCTTGCGGAAGTCCGGAGGAGCGATAGTAAAACTGTCACTTTCAAGAAACTTATTTTTCTATTTTCAAGTACAGAGTCAGTCATAGAATTTTTACAGTGAGAGTAATCTAAATTGATTGGTGTTTGAATGATTCACGGTTCAGGGCGCCAAATACAGCACATGGTAATACAGTTAATTTCCGGGCGTTTCGCTACATGACCGTAGGATCATCAGGGCAACTTTTGCTCAGTCTTTGGTCCACCATCCCTTCATGTGGCTAAACAGTTTAATTCCTCGGTAGTTTTCACAGGCGAGTATGCCACTTTCAATTTGTACATTGGCATCGAAGTACTCTGCCTTCATGAATCCGATATTTTTTTTCACATTTCATTATTTTATTCAGGAGTGCGTAGAGCTAAGCCACGCCTTCGCCTGCACCAGTGCCTTCAATGCTTCTATGCGGACTCCATCCGGGGGGCTAAGCGCCTTCTTATTTTTCATCCGGCTCGAAACTTGCTTCACGGCATTAGATGAGATCTTAACGGCAAAACTCCGATTTCGTGGGAACTCTGGGACGTTCTTCATTTGGTAGCATTTGGAAGTGCCTTCGACATCGGTTGCGAGTATTTTTCTCGCCAGTCAGCAGCACTCCGTTTTTGTCTTTTACGCACTTCATTTTACCAACGTTTTGCTATTCGACTGATGTGCTTCTTCCTTCCTTGGTTGCCAGTTTTTCGAATAAACTCTTGCACGCTATAGACTTTGCTTCAGCGACGACTTTCTTTTCCTCCCTCTTCAATCTAGCATATTTAACTCTGACTTCGGCGTTGTTTGATAGCTGCCATTTCTTGAACACCTCTTTCTCCTGCCGTATGGTCGTCTACACGTCTGCATTGCACCACCTCTGGATATATGTTGTGCCTTTTGTTTCTCCAGCTAAACTTATGGCATTCCTTATGACTGTTGGCTATCCGCTCCCTACTTCGTCTACCTTGCTGTTGAACTGTTCCTTCGACATTTTCTCGTGATTTATATTTTTAATGCCTCTTTTAGCTTCCGTCACTGTATCTTCGTAGTTGTCGTCGCACCAACTGTCTTACTGGACTGTTTCAAGGAGAAGTCCGTGACCAGAAGGTGGTGATGGTTTGTGACTTAGCAGTCGAACTTGCTTTTCATCTGTCCGTTCCTGTAAGTTAGCAGATGGAGTTCTCTTTTCTGGAACAACGTTTTTCTAAGGCTAAATCATATGCATCTCTCATCTGCAAGATGGTCTCCCTTTCTTTATTTAACATACCATGCCCATGTTCGCCATGGATCCTGTCGTAATCCCTTCGATGTTTCCAAACGTGCTCGTTAAGATCACCTCCAATTGCCACCTTTTCGTTTCGCGGTTTGTTTCGCAGTGTAATATTTAGGCTGTCACAGAATTTTCACCTTTTGGCTTCGAACTGGCCAATCTGAAAGGCGTAGGCACTTATGATGTTTAACGTACCATGTCCATGACTCTGTCAATAATTCGGTTGATTTCAAATACCCTTCTTTGATCTCTTCAGTCAGTAACGCTCCAACTTCATTTCTTTTGCATGATATTTCCACAGTAAATGAGTTTATAGCCTAACCTAAACTCTTTCGACTTTTCACCTTTCCATTTCTCTCGTGAATGCGAGTAATCCAAATTTTTCTTTTTTGAGAAACTTCCGCTAGCTATATGAAATAATAACAAATACAATATGTATAAGAAGTTTGTTTTGCATGTACTCAAGGTTCGCGCTGTGCTTCAAAGCATATAATATGTTTTTTCACAAGCCCCACTTTACAGACATTTCATCTTCCAGACACCCCTTTCACCAAATAGTCAATTTAATTGAGGATATACTGTATTTGCAAGTTACTGGTTATGCCACAGAAGCATGGAGTTAGTTCCATGTTCAAAGGAATATGAGGTTAACACAAAGGTTGTTCTTTGAAAAGATTCAAATACGGCACCTTCTGGACACAGTGTAACCACGCCCCTACGAAAAATGCGGATGTCTGCCACATTGCCTTGTTTCAGGGAAAAGAGCCTCCTGTTCAATGAAATGGTCAGCATCTGATTCCTTATGGCATCATTGATTCTTTTGGCCGTCATCTGTCCTTAACAATGGTCATTCAATTTAAGTACAATTCCAAATGCTCAACCAAGACTTCCTTTGAGCTGCTCAACGTCGCCTCCTTTAATACAGCTATATTCGTAGGACATTCTGAATGTCGTTGCTATACACAACTGGAGCGGCTGTTGATAACCAGGCAGGCGTTGCACGTTGCTGGATGTCTAAGTCAAATTTAGCGTCACGTCAATGATGATGTTTAGAACGAAATTATTCATCCGGTCTATAATTGCTTCAGCCCAGCCGTGGGGAAGAGCAGGCAGAAGCACGCGCGATGCACATTCAGTTTCCTGCTCCTACGAAGTCGTAAAGTTTGCCGAATCTTGCTGATGCTTTATGTTGCTTGACGTCATGTGGTTCTTGTCGCTGACACGCATAGTTAGTTTGTTTCGTAGCACATGGTGTCCCTGAACGCTGTGAGCAGATACGACAACGACATCGTCCATCTAAGTTTACAAAAACTATCAACCTTCCCTGAAACTAATCACTACCTGAGTGGCTTGCGTAATTTAGAAGGAAAATGTGGTGAAGTAATGGATAAACAACCAGGCGAAACTTCGACCATCTTCCAGAGTTAACGCGTACTCAATCGTCACTCAAAAAAACTTGGGTAAAACATAAGATTTCCAACTGGACAGCTGGAGACACTAGCACAGCAGAAGGAGTCGAATCACGAGCTAGCATCTGTTCAGCAACAAATGCATTGTCAATTTTTACCTTCTACCTCATGAACCCTTCGAAAAATTAAATTATATGAAACTTAATTTCCTGTGGCTGAAGTAGTATCCATTATTTAAGAGCTGGGCAAGAAATGCTGCAAGATAAACTTATCATCGCTGGAAGAAAGAGACATCAGACTTGGTTCCAAGTGACAGTAAAC